TTTTATAGATAATTTGCTAAAAGGGTGATCAAAAAATCTGTCCTTAGAAGAAAGTTAGTGAAGATCTTTGTATCTCACCATGGAGTCCTTAAACTCTTATAAGAGATTACCAAGATGTTGTTACAGGTTAAGCCTTTTGTATCTATATTTTGTTAACTGAAATTGGTTCCTTCTACATTACATCCTGTCCAGTCTGGTGTGGTACTCCTAGTTTGTCAGTGTTATAAGTCTTGAGATGTCATGCAGCTGAAATCACAGCCACACACTTCAGGATGTCAAAAATTTCTAACGGGGTGATACAGCTGGAGTTAAATTCTTAACTGACTGGCAGCTTTGGGGCATGTGTGTGATTGCTGGGCTTTTGGAAGTACAGGGAGATGGGGAGAGGTAGCCCATGACTGATTCATGAAAGCTGGAGATTTCAGTCACAAAACCTGCATACCTGAGGTTTTCAACAAATTAATTTCTGGATCAGGCTCGTCTGAGCAGTGGGGTCCAGCCAGAAGCATGGCAGCGATTGTGGAGTGTGGATGTTTTCAGCTGCTGGGGCTCTATTTGGGCAGGTGCAGGAGCTCAACCATCCCCCTCCGGGTTGCCCCAGTATGATTCAGCCTTGTGCAGAATTGAGGAGAAATTCTGCCACCTGCAGATCTCTTTCAAGAGATCTATTTCTGAATCTCTGGATCATGGCTGGTGAAAGCTCACATGACACCAAAGGTGGTTGGTGAGCGTGACTGTGGAGTTTCCAAGGTACAGGGAGATGGATAGTGGTAGCTCATCCCCAACCCCATAAAAGCTGGAGATGTCAGTCACAAAACCCACATACTTGAGTGTTTCAACAAATTAACTTCTGGATGAAGCTCTTCCGAGTTGTGGGGTCCGGCCGGGAGCATGGTGGCAATTGTGGAGTGTGGAGGTTTTTGGCTCTCACTTTTCTTTTTTCTTTTTTTTTTTTTTTTTTTTTTTTGCTTTTTGGGTCACACCTGGCAATGCACAGGGGTTACTCCTGGCTCTGCACTCAGGAATCACCCCTGGTGGTGCTCAGGGGACCTCATGAGATGTTGGGAATCGAACCTGGGTTGGCTGCGTGCAAGGCAAAAGCCCGACCCGCTGTGCTATTGCTCCAGCCAGTGGTGGAGTGACACTCTGTGACTGGAGTGAGGTTAGAGCATTGTATGCACGAAACCCTATTATTACAGTAATGAAAATTATGATTACTAAAATAAATGTTTCGGGGCTGGAGCGATAGCACAGCGGGTAGGGCATTTGCCTTGCACGCGGCCAACCCGGGTTTGATTCCCAGCATCCCATATGGTCCCCCAAGCACTGCCAGGAGTAATTCCTGAGTGCATCAGCCAGGAGTAACCCCTGTGTATTGGCGGGTGTGACCCAAAAAGCAAAACAAAAACAAAAACTAAAACTAAAATAAATGTTTAGGGGTGGGGAGCAACAGTACAGTGGGTAAGGTGCTTACCTTAGCAGCAACCCATGCACACTGCTGACCCAGATTCCATCTCTGGCATTTCATGTGGTCCCTTGGGCACTGCCCAGAGTGATTTCTGAGCGCAGAGCCAGGAGGAACCTCAGCATCGCTGCTGTGGCACCAAAGCCAAAAACAAACAAACAAACAAACAAACAACAACAAAAACTCCACATAACAGTTAATAACATAAAATCTTCAGGGGGGAAGCATTTTTGAAATTAAGTAGGGGGAAAGACATTAAAAAAAAAAAACACTTAAGACAGTATTTAGATAGAGGTAGAACTGGTGACTGTTGATTTGTTCAAACGTAAGATAATAGTGACATCTAGTGTTTATTCAGAGTATTAGTTACCGACTATTTTTTTTTTCCAGCAGTCTACCTACCCACAAAACAATGAAGAAAGAGGAAGTGCTAAAAGGTTGCTATCACTTAATCACTTAACTTCCCGTTAGTCGTCGAGTTGCTCGAGCGGGCGCCAGTAACGTCTCCATTTGTCCCTGTCGCGTGCTAGTGTAGCCCAATGGCATCTCTTCGCTCCGGGAACATGGAGGGCCTCAAACCGATCGTTCATGACCTTGACAAAGAAGTCTGACCATCTGGTAGGTGGGCGGCCACGCGGTCTCTTGACATCCCGTGGAATCCAATCAGTAACAGCTCTAGTCCAACGGTCGTCTTTAAATCTCATTACGTGACCAGCCCATCTGATTTTCGACACCTTGGCAAATGAGACAGCGTCCCTGATCCTTGATCATCGACGGATGTCAGAACTCCGGATTCGGTCTCTCATTTGAGTGAAACGTGATATTCCAAGCATAGCTCTTTCTATTCTTCTTTGGGAGACCTGAATGGCGTTCTCATCTTGTTTGCGTAGGGCCCAGGTCTCTGAGGCATATGTTAATGCAGGAAGAACAGTGGAATCAAAGAGATGTGCCCGGAGCCGGAGGTTCTTCGTCCTCTTAGCTATTTCTTCGACGTTCTTGAAGGCGTTCCAAGCCGCTCTCTTCCTCCTGCTCAGCTCGGGTGCCAGGTCATTTGTCATGTTGACCTCTCGACCTAGGTACACATAGCTGTTGCATTCGGAGATGGTCGTTCCATTGAGAGCGAATGGGGCCTCAGGAACAAGGCTGTTTCTCATAAACATTGTCTTCGTAAGATTCAGCTGTAGTCCTACCTTTCCACACTCACGGTCAAAGTCGGCCAGCATTTGTGCCGCTTGGCTGATGTTTGGTGTTATTAAAACAATGTCATCAGCAAAGCGGAGGTGGTGTAGTTGCCGACCATCTATCTTCACTCCCATTCCTTCCCATTCCAGTCGTCGCATGATGTTCTCGAGGGTGGCACTGAAGAGTTTTGGTGAAATGGTATCACCCTGCCGCACCCCTCTCTTGACATCAACGATCACTTCTTTGTAGAATGGTGAGATCCTGGTAGTGAATCCACAATACAGCTCACGGAGGATCCTGATGTATTGGGCTTGAATGCCCTGATTGGCTAGGGCTTCAATGACCGCTTCCGTCTCAACAGAATCAAAGGCCTTCTTTAAATCAATGAACGTTAAGCAGAGCGGCATCTTGAACTCCCGAGAAACCTCAATGAGTTTGGTTATCGTGTGGATATGGTCGATGGTGCTGAATCCTTTGCGGAACCCTGCTTGCTCACATGGTTGTCCTTCATCTAGTGTTCTGCCAATCCTATTCAGGATGACTCGAGTGAACAACTTGTAGATGACAGACAATAGGCAGATCGGGCGATAGTTGCCAATGTCATGGATGTCTCCCTTCTTGAACAGTAGTACGGTCCTGCTGGTTTTCCATTGAGATGGAACCTTGCATTCAGACAGGTAGCGAGTGAAGAGCCGAGCCAGTGTATTGATGAGTACTGACGGCAGGTTCTTCAGGTGTTCAGGTCTGACCTTGTCTGGGCCGGGTGCTGTTTGCTTCTTTACTGACGAAATGGCGTGTCGGATTTCGGAAGGGAGAACGTTGGGAACGACATACCCATCCTGTGGAATTTGGTATGTCGGCAAGTGGACATGGCTATCGAAGAGATTTGAGTAGAAGTCATGGATAATCTTCTCCATTGCCGTTCTGGAGGATGTGATGGATCCATCAGGACGTCGGAGGGCAGTCATCTTGGTCTTATAGTTGGCGAAGGACAGGCGGGCGTTATGAATACTTTTCCCGGCTTCTGCCGCATCTACCAGTACTTCTGCTCTTCTCTCTTTGAGGTCTTCCTTGATCGCATCTCTGCACTGCTTTGCAAGCTCAGACGTTAGCTTGCGGTTGCCTGAGGCATGCGCCAAACCACGCTGGCGAATTAGCTCAAGAGTTTTCAAAGATAGGCGACTTTTTGTGGCTATCTCTCTCTTGGCGTTCCTCGCACATTCATGGAGGTGCTGAACCAGTCGATCGTATTCCTCGTCAATGTTGTCAACAATGGCATCTTCCCATGTTGCCGCAATAGTACCAAAGAGTTCCCAGTTGGTGGTCGTTCTGGGAGTTCTCTTTTTGAACTTTGCAGCCCTTTCTCCCCGCTCTGTGAAGTAGAATTTTGCACGAAGGAGACGGTGGTCCGATCCCGTTCGAAATTTTGGGACAACAGCGACATCAGTCAGGCAAAACCGTCGATTGAATATGATGTGGTCTATTTCGTTGTGGAATCGTCCACCGGGAGACTCCCATGGCAACTGTAATAGCAATAGACAGTAGCTGCATATTTTCTTTATATTTTTTTGTTGGTTTGTTTGTTCTTGGAACACACCTGGTAATGATGAGGGGTTACTCCTGACTTCACTCAGAATTACTCCTCGCACTGCTCAGAGGACCACATGGGATGACAACCTGGCTGCATGCAAGGCAAGCGCCATCTGTAACCACTGTACTGTCGCTCCAGAACTCAGATGCACAGTTTCTGAAAACCCAGGGCCCCTAATCAGGTTTCAGAGAGGAGTTGTAACATACTGAAGTAACTGATATGTAAAAATGGAAATTTTAAATTTTATTGATGGGTTTTTTTTTTTAGGCGAGGCAGGGGCTTTTTGGGTCACTCCCATCAATGCTCAAGGGTTACTGCTCCTGGCTCTGTACTCAGGAATTACTTCAAGCAGTGCTCAAGGAACCATATGGGATGCCGAGGATGAAACCCTGGCTGGCTGCCTGCAAGGAAAGTGCCCTACCCGCTGTACTACTCTCCCTACCCACCCCCCAGAAGGGAAAAAATTTTTTTAAGACAGCAGTATAAAGATCATTGTAGAAAACTGAGCATAATATTGTAGGACAAATTCAACTGATTCAGTATCTGGAGGGGAAACTAGAGAAGAGGCAAAGGTGAGATCAGGCAGAGCTTGTGATTTCTGCATAGTGAGAAGCCACCTCGGATCCTCGAATGAGCCTTGCAATTTAAGGCTCAGAGCTGACACAGCCTATGCGAACAGTCGGGAAGGGAGCAGGCTGAAAAAATTGCCAGTTATAAATCTGGTTCTGGTTTTGCCGGCAGGATTTTTTTGTTTTGTTCTGTTTGAATATGGAACACTTTATGAATTTGTGTGTCATCCTTCTGTGGGGGCCATGCTAACCTCCATATTATTCTAATTTTAATATGTTTACTGCCAAGGTGAGTACGTTTTTGTTGTTTTTGTTCTGGGATCACACCCACACTTGCTCAGGGCTTACTCCAGGCTTTGTGCTCAGGTACTTAGGGGACCAGAGGGAGTTGCATGCTGGGGGAAAGGGAAGCTCAGATAGAGAAGGGAGCACCAAATAAAGAGTGTTTTTTCCCCAGCATGCAGGAATCAAACTCAGGTTGGCCATGTATAAGGCAAGCACCCTACCTACTCTACTATTGCTTGAGCCCCAAATATTTTGCTTTTTAAAGTTGCAAATGAGTTCAGAGAGTTCTTTGAAGGATATCTAGATTCCACTAATGCTATCCATCATCTTCTTACATGATCAGATTTCCTTTTCTCCTTTTTTTTTCTTTTCCTTTTTTGGTTTTAGAGACACCCCCAGTGGTGCTCAGGGCTTATTCCTGACTCTATGTTCAGGGATCACTCCTGGCAGTGCTCAGAGGACCATATCTGGTGCCAAGGACAAACTTCTTTCAGTTGCATGCAAGGCAAGTGCCCTACCCTCTGTACTAGCTCTCAAGCCCAACTAACTCCTATGTGAAGGGCTGTTTTATAGAATGTGATGATGTTTGATGGAATTTTATTTTATTCTATTTTTTTTATTATTAGTGAAACACCATGAGGTACAGTTATAGACTTACAAACTTTTGTGCTTGGGTTTCAGTTATACAATGATCAAGTACCCATCCCTCCACCAGTGCCCATTTTCCACCACCACGGGTTCCAGTATCACTCCCACCCTCCATCCCCCCCATCCTACCCTGCCTTTCCTTTTGTTCTCTCTCTCTCTCCTCTTGGGTTCTGTGGTCTGCAAGAGAGGCATTGAGTGGCAATCATGTTTGGTCTATAGTCTACTTTCAGCATGCTTCTCCCATCCTGGGAGGATCCTCCCAACACTCTTTATTTGGTGCTCCCTTCTCTATCTGAGCTTCCCTTTCCCCCAGCATGTACAGTACATTTAGTTTCAAAATTGAAGTCAGTCCTCTTCATCTTTACTGATGCTTTGTCAACTAAGTTCATGTACTGCTGTAGACCCTTTATCGTCAATCCTGCAATGTCATGGCATCTTTAACAGGAGCACATTCCATTATAGGAAACCTCTTTCTTTGCTCATCCATAAGAACTCTTTATCTCTTACAACTTTGTCATGAAGTTGCAAACTTTCAATCACTTCTTTAGTCTCCACTTGTCATTTTAGTTTCTTGATTTTTCTATCACATTTGCAATTACTTCCTCCACTGAAATCTGAGCCCCTCAAAGCTACACGTGAGAGTTGTAATAAACCTATTAATATGTTTGTTTACTTGTTTAACTTCTCCATGAATCACAAATATTCTTATTGGCATCTAGAATGCTGAATCACTTTCAAAGGGTTTTCAATTTACTATGTCCAGATCTACTAGAGGAAACACTGGTTATGACAGTTATAGATTTCTAAAATATATTTTTGGAATATTAAGATTTGAAAGTCCAAATAAGTTCTTGATACACGGGCTACAGAATGGAATTTGTATTAGCAGGCAAGAGATCTATTACATTAATCTATTAATCTATTACATCTCCCTCAGAGCCCTTTGGGACATTGTCAAAGAGCAGTAATACTTTGAAAGGGATCTTTTCTTCTGAGAAATATGCCTGAAAGAGGTTTAACACGTTTAGTAATTCATATTGTAAACAGATGTGCTGCCATCCAGGATTTGCTGTTCCATTTATAAAGCTCAGGAAGAGTAGATTTTGCCTAATTCTTAAGAGCCCTAGGATTCTCTGAACACAAATGAGCACCAACTTTAACGTAAAGTCATCAGTTATAATAGCTCCCAACAAAAGATTCAGTTGGTTCTTTGAATCTTCTATTTTAAAAAATTTAATTTTAGTTTTTGCTGTGTCAGAAATTGAACCCAGGATCTCACACATGCAAGGCTCTACACTCCAGAGCCACATCCCAGGCTTTGTTATTTGAAATTATTTGTTACCTCTTTCCAGTTATCAAACTTCTAAATGGCATCTTCTTCTAGAGGGATAGTACAGTGGGTAGGAGTTGCATGTGGGCAACTTGGGTTTGGTTCCTGACACAGCATATGGTCCCCTGAGGCCTACCAGAGATGATCCCTGAGCACAGAGCTAGGAATAAGCCCTGAGCCAAGCTGGAGTAGCCCAAATATGAAATAAAAATAGAAGAAAACTGCTTTGTCTACATTGAAAATCTGTTTTTTCCGGCAAACACCTTCATCAACAATTTTAGCTAGATCCTGATAACTTGCTATAGTTTCTTTTTATATACTGATTTATTTCTTTCACTTTATTAAAACACCCTGGGTTACAAAGCTGTTCATAATACAGTTGTTATGAGCTTTTGGTGTTCCATCACAAACCCCACCACCTGAGTGACCTTCCCTTCACCATTGTTCCCATTTTCCCAACCACTCCCAAGTCTCCCTTTTATCAGGCACACAATAATTTGTTTTATGTTACTTGTTACAACCAAATGGCTAAAAGAATTATCAAAAATACTTTATCAAAAGAAAATTTGTGAAAATTGTTTTATCTCCCCGTGGGGTTGGAAGGGGTGACTTTCACCCTTGCCCTGCTATAATTTCTTTGTTAGTATTTGCTGTCCCAGACAGCTTCTGTCCCTAACATTTAGAACCAATCATGTGTAGCTTTATACTTTTCTTCAATAGCTTTTTCATCTCCCTCAGCCTTTGTTAGATTTAAAAGAGCTGCAGTCTTGCTCCAGATTTGACCCTGGGTTACAGAATGTTGTAGCTGGTTTGAACTATTAATAATAAAAAATTTATTCATATCAGCAATGGAGTTTTTGCTTTTGTATTATTTGTATGTTTATGGAACAGTACTTTTAGTTTCCTCTGAGAACTTTTCCTTTCCTATCACAATTCAGCTATTTGGCTCAAGGAACACAACTTTCAGCTTATTTAAGTTCTTGCATGCCTTCCTCTCTAAACTTAATCATTTCTAGCTTTTGATTTTAAATGATACTCTCACTAGGACAATTCCTTTCATTAGAGTTAACTGTAGGATTATTTTTTGACCTAATTTCAATATTGCTGTATGTCAGGAAACACGGAAGCTGAGGAGAGGAAGAGAGATGAGAGAACAGTCAATAGAGGAACAGTTAGAACACTGAAAAAAAAGTTTGCCTTGGAATGGAGGGCATGGGACTGCACCCAGGAATACTCAGGGATTATTCCTGACTCTATGCTCAGGGATCACTCCAGGCTATGCTCTGGGGACTGAGTGCTGAGGATTCAGTCAAGGTTCTGCTATCTGCAAGGCAAGAACCTTAACCTAACTAGTATCTCTCTGACTCCAATTTTTCTTATTTATTTCTTCTTCTTATTTGGTGTCAGGCGCACCTAGTGGTGCTTAGGTCTCACTTCAGTTTCTAGGCTTATGAATAACTTCTGATGGGGTCAAGGGGACCATATATGATGCTGAGGATCAAACCTGAATTGAGCATATGTAAGACAAGTGCCCTAACCACTGTATTGTCTCTCCTGCTCCTTTACAATAATATTTTTATAGGGCTCACATGTGGCAGTGCTTGAAACTCAAGCCACTCCTCTCAGAGTTTGGTGATTCTCAGGTTATCAGTGCTCAGGCTAGTTGCGCTTGGGACCTACCAGGGCTCTACTTGACAGTGCTAGGGAGTGCAAGCCATCAAATTCAGGGCACTGCACATGATAAGCTATGTCCTACACTTGAACTATTTCCCCAGACCTCAGATCACACATATTTTTCAATTGTTTCTCCTAGACAATTACAATAGTAACATCAGAGATTCCTGATTGCATGGGCTGCAGAGTTAGAACAGCAGATAAAGCACTTACCTTACATGTGACTGACCCTGGTTTGATCCATGGCATCACATATAATCTGCCTCAAGCCCTACCGGAGGAGCTGATCCCTGAGCGCAGAGCTAGGAATAAGCCCTGAGTTTCCACTGGGTGGAAACTCAAAGCAAAACAAACCAAAATATTCTTGATTACAGATTACTATGACAGATATAAGAATAATAAATAATTATAACAACAGGTTTAAGAATAATAAAAGTTTGAATTATTGCGAGAATTAACAAAATGTGGCAGCAAGACAACAAGCAAGTACATGCTGTTAGAGAAATGATGACAGACTTGTTCAATGCAGGTGGCCACAAACATTACTGGTGAAAAGTACTGCATTTGTAAAGCACAATAAAATGGCATAGGTCTGTAACTAATACTTTTTTGGTTTCACAATCCAGTTTATGGATGAGAGAATTAGTATGAAAGTAAAAATAAGGCTGTTAACCTTGCATGAGACTAACTCCCGGCTCTGTGTAAGGTCCACCAAATCCCACGAGGAGTGGCCCTTGAGCATGGAGTCAGGAGTAAGCCCTGAGCACTGCCAGGTGTGACTCAAGAACCAAAATAAAACAACAAAGTTCAGCAAAATAGAAGTTACCTAAAACAAATATTTTAATATACTAAAACTAGTGTGTTCATATATACACATATATACAAACATATATCTACATACTTATCTAACCCATAGACATAAACAGTTACAAAAAGCATAAATTAGAGTAAATTACCATTTTAACAGAACATGTACTAAAATAGGGCATCACCAACAAGTCAAGTTTTAAAAAAGGAATACAGCATTGGTTGAATTTCAGGAATTCGATTCACACACGATATCAAATAATCAAAAAAATTACCCAATCACTTCAACATAATTCCCCGCACCCCCTCTCCATCCATTAAGAAAAAACACTTCTTAAAAGTCAGATTTGGCTTTAGCTTGGGGCTTTTCTTTTGTTTTTTGGTGTGGTGTGGTTTTTTTTTTTGGGGGGAGGGATATAGAGTTGTTTGATTTTGTTTTGATCTGCACCCAGCAGTGTTCAAGGCTTACTCCTGACTCTGTGCTCAGAAATCACTCTTGGTGGGCTCAGGGGACTGTATGGAGTGCTGGGAATTAAACTTGGGTTGTCTGTTT